CATGGCCCGAAATGGTATGCTATGTTATATAGGTATGATGTTAACGCTGCACAAGATATAAGCTCTGGTTCTCTTACTTCTTCAGATATGGGTCCTTTCCTTTGAAATAATTTATCGATCTGAAAATAAACAGTATTTGATTAATTTTCCTATCGTAAAAAATAAGTAAAATAACTACCTATTTCTTATCTTATAATAAAAATATTACATAAAAATAAATAACAGTTTAAAAAAAACTAAAAAAACACACTTTTATAGAAAATCCAACTAAAAAATAGATAAGAAATTTTAATAAATTTGAATTAAAAATAGTGTAAGAAAAAAATATTTTATTGTAAAAAAAAGCGTGTGGTGCAGTTTTTTTTTAAATTTTAATTTATTTTTAATTTTTTAATTGAAATTCAGTTTTTTCAATTTTTTAATTTTTTTTTAGTTGGTTGTCATCCGTCCTTATTAAGTATACCAAATTTCGATTTAATCCGACGTTTTGAAGGGGGTCAAAATCATGTTCAAAGATTCCGTTACACACTAACATATTTACATCTGAAGCTAATAAAAGAGTATTAATATTCCATCCCAAAGAGCCAGTTCAGCATGTTTGTATACTTACACTTTCATTAATGAAAATTTCAAAATTCAGCTTATGAATTCGCTTGAGAATCGATTATACATGTGTGTACAACTGTACATGTACACTGGCCAAGTTCCATCGGACGTCCTGTACAAGTAGGACAATTAATGTGCCAAAAAAAAAGAAGGGACACAACAACCTTATAAATATGTAAATAATATAATAGATGTACCTTGGATTGTCTACTATAATGTCTTGTATAAGTTTCTGCCGATGTTTTTTAGACCCTGCAAGACTTAATTGTTGCGATTCTGCTCAAAAATGTTGCTCCACAAGTTTTACACAAGGCGTTCTCACTATTTTTATCTTTTGTCAACCACCGAAAATTCAGGATTTTGTTCCCACTCAGATCTATATTTCTGATCGTATTTGCACTTCTTTAGCTTCACTACACACAGACGATAACACAAAGAGACATGAATAAAGAACAATTTTTTTTCCTCCCTAATCTGATAGCCTTGAGAAGCTATGTCAGCGTAACCGGACGAATAGGTGGGCTCACGGGGCTCAAACTTGACGTTGTAGCTAATACGAACCCCTAATAAGACCAGTGCTTCGCTGCATCTACCACCGGATCGGAAACGCGACCCACTGAGAAGATCCGTCGAGAAACTCAGTGGGCTGTGTCTGTGGGTTAATTTACTCGGCGAGCGCTTAGTCGCGAGCGACGGGTTCGTTTATCCTTCGATCGTTCGGTTTATCCTTTAGGCCACGACGACTTCTTAATCACACCCCATGGCCTTGAAAGCACAGGGCTTGGAATTTACTGAGTGCCACATAAAGGCCAAACTTTTTATTTGGTGTATGATCCCATTGTGTCCGATGCAGACGATCGAATCCACTGTATATTATTATAGCAAAAGTCAAATTATGCAATAGCTCTAAAATGAATTAATTCCACACTTGAACAATAATATTGTAATCAGTGATGACAACATTGGGAATCCCCTGTCTTCACCTTTTCACCGCTTATCAATTATTTGTATGAAAACACGTCATCTAACACTGTTTTAGGATTGTGATCTGATCAATTTAGAACGGGTTCCACCTTGTTCCATGGAACTAATTACCGGAACGTGATTTGGGACCCACCCAGGTGTTAGCGCGCATTGTGTACTAATCCCTGCTTCTTATATAACACACACATACAAATACGATTATGTCTAGGTAATTGTTGTGCCGTGCTGTGTGATCAAATTGTGGGTTCGGTACCATCAAGGTCTCAAGATCGGCGTTCACGATATGGTGTGTATAGGCCCCCCGATATCTACTCATGACCAGAAAGGATGTGGAGAAAAATAACAAGAAATCTAAATTATAGAGGTAGTCCCTGCTACGTAATGCCATCTGCCAATTCGCTGGGTTTTTTTTTCTTAGATGGGTAGACGAGCTCACAGCCCATCTGGTGTTAAGTGGTTACTGGAGCTCATAGACATTCACAACGTAAATGCGCCACTCACCATGAGATATAAGTTCTAAGGTTTCAAGTATAGTTACAACGGCTGCCCCACCCTTCAAACCGAAACGCATTACTGCTTCACGGCACAAAAAGGCAGGGTGATGGTACCTACCCGCGCGGTCTCACAAGAGGTCCTACCACCAGTAACCGCTGGAGACTCCTTCCAAACCTCAGTTCGCCCAAAGAACGTTTTATCGCAGCGGTTAAATGTCGAGCGGCACTAGCGATAATCAGTTTTCAGTCCTGAGTGCTTAGTGCGAGTTAGCTCATATTTGTATGGAATGGGATCGTTTGCCTAAGTTCGTTGCTAGGGGCGCTGTTCCAACTGCATACAAATATGAGTTAACTTTTACGCTATCGAGAACGTTAAGAAACTCGCACTAAGCACACTGATTATGTCAAACATGTTTCTTTTCACTTGTCCACGACTAATGTGTGTCGGCGTGCTTGAACAAGCGTACCGCCAGGACGGCCTGATTAGCCGAGTCGTTGACTGTCGTCTCAACTATTCCGTCGGTCAGGCGTTTTTAGGGGACCACTGCGAGGACCCCGACGATGAAGATACCGCGGAACATACAGTGGCGCGCTTTTCTCGATTCCGGGACCTGACACTACCGACCGTCGCGGCTATGATGTTCAATTCCCTATCAATGCGTTACCGGCGATCCGGGGCTGGAGGACACAGTATCAGCGTATATCCCGGCCCATGTAGACGGGGACCTGGTGAAGGTCACGAGGCGACCTGGGGTATTGAGGTCGCTCGGCACGCTACCAGCACTCTAGCGCGCCGACCAAGAGTGAAATCATAAGAGTGACCGGTTGAAGATAAATTGCGTTCCAACCCGGTAGGCTGATTAGGAAAAAGAATATTTACGTAACAGAATGTATCGGCCTAATTATGACAATTTTAGAGTTAAATCTTGTCATACTTATGTAAACTGTTTATTGAACGGCTGTTACTAGGCTGCACTAAAAGTATCGGGAATGGAATATTTCCACTGTTCCTGTCATATTAAAATCTTTTTAATTGAAAACTCCTTGGTTTTAAAAATCGAATACGATTTATTTATTTAAAAAAAGATTCTCGGTCTTGTCACGAGGTTTTGTCAAACTTGTTTAGTCGTTGAGAAAATGGAATTGACTCGAGAAAATTCAAGAGCGATGATTTATTATGACTTTCGAACTGGTTTAACACAAAAACAGTGTGTTGACCGGATGATTTCTGCATTTGGTGATGAAGCCCCATCCAAAACCACAATTTATCGCTGGTTTGCTGAGTTTCAACGTGGACGTGTCAAGCTCAGTGATGATCCCCGTCAAGGTCGTCCAAAAACTGCAGTCACCCAAGAAAACGTTGATGCTGTGCGTAAGCTGATTGAGGAAGNTCATTTAATTATATTATGAATAATAATTCTGTTAGCAAATAATATACCGGGAAAATAGTGTAAACTCACCGTTATCAAGGCATCCGAAATAGCATTTCATTTTCGATCTTCGAGGCATGCTGATTTTTAATAATAAACTTTCTGTAAGAAATGAAAATAGTTACACAGGCTTACGAAACGCTAACGAAGAAAAAAGTATTGGAGCCAAGTTATGTCTAAAGAGAATTCAAAACAGAGTTTCTCAATGTCTAATCGTCTAATATTCTCATAAAGCCAAAAGTTGCTCTAAATTAATACTACAACGTAAAATAACTCACACCAAGACCAAAAAAAAACGATTTAAAAAATTAAATCATAGATTATACACTTTATATGATCACGACAATGCGAGTTCTCACACCGCGCACAGAACAAAAGAGTTTTTAGAGCAAGAAAACATAGAATTATTAGACCATCCGCCGTACAGCCCCGACCTAAGCCCTAATGATTTCTATACTTTCCCTAAATTATAGAATAAATTGCGTGGACAGAGATTTTCATCACCTGAAGCAGCTGTGGACGCCTACAAAACGGCCATTTTGGAGACCCCAACTTCCGAATGGAATGGTTGCTTCAATGATTGGTTCCATCGTATGGAAAAATGTGTCAAATTTCGCGGAGAATACTTCGAAAAGCAACAAATACATTTTTAAATAGTAATGTTGTGTCACTTCGTCAATTCCCGAAATTTTCAGTGCCGCCCTCGTAACATTGAAAAAACAGTAAAGTTAATAATTCACCTCCAGTTTTAATGTATAAAAACAACGAAGCATTTCATTGCAATGTCATTTGACATTTAACCTCTCATGACGATCTCGATTCTGATGCGTAGAAATTAACACATTAAAGTCAGTTTAAGATCAGTTCACTTTATCATACACACACTTACACGCAATTATTAAAAATAAATATTCAAAAATTAAATACGAATTAAAAAAAAAAATTTTGAATGTGAAGACATAATTTGACAATATTAGATTCCAAATAAAATTATTGTATTGTTATAATATTTATTTATTTTGTCTGTGAATTATCTTATTAATTTAGTGTTTATTCAGATTTTAATGTAATAATGGTGGTTTGTTTCTGTGGACAAGTGTGTAAAAATAAAATGAAACCGCTGGACGTGGCTTCTTGCCAAAAGTACATTGACCTCTGAGTAAAATATTGAATTTAGGTAGGTATATAATGTTTATAATTTAGGTAAATTCAAATCATCCAACATCTGCGGTGTTGTGTTACATCAACGCATTTAATTTCATTCAATTTAAAATTTCGCTTTGGTTTATTATTAATTACATTCAATATCAAAAGAGAGGTTTCGTTAATTTAACAGTTAAAAGTAATCGAAATAATAATAATTTAACCTAAAACAACAAACTGGTGTGAGCAGTGTGGAATTTTCGCTGACCAATATTGTAGTAAATTATTTGTAGTAGGGATATAATTACAAGAAATTAAATTATCTTGACGTTATCACGCGGGAAAGTACGAGGAAAATATTAATGTCACAGTCCTGATAATGTCATAAATATAACATTATCCTTTAGTGCAAGTTTATTTGACATTTGAACTTTAATACCGATATCGTATCTGACATGTTTTGATTGGAAATTTAGCTTCGGTATATAAGGCGGAGTTTGAAACGATGCCGGCAGATTAGTGGAGAAGCCTGGTGAACCAAAGGTGAGACTTACTTACAAAAAAGTTGATCGTAATATATTAGTATTTTGTCAACTTACTCTTAGAGTCTACTATGAGCTCGAGTCGATAGGTTATCGATTATAGTTTAATTCCAACAAGTTTTAGGGTTCAATGTCGCGTGTTTCGTTATTACGTTTAACGAGTTTTTGAAGTCGTCGTGGCCTAAAGGATAAGACGTCCGGTGCATTCGTATCTAACGATGCACCGGTGTTCGAATCCCGCAGGCGTGTACCAATTTTTCTAATGAAATACGTACGTAATGTTCACGATTGACATCCACGGTGAAGGAATAACATCGTGTAATAAAAATCAAACCCGCAAAATTATAATTTGCGTAATTACTGGTGGTAGGACCTCTTGTGAGTCCGCACGGGTAGGTATCACCGCCCTGCCTATTTCTGCCGTGAAGCAGTAATGTGTTTCGGTTTGAAGGGTGGGGCAGCCGTTGTGACTATACTGAGACCTTAGTTATATCTCAAGGTGTGTGGCGCATTTACGTTGTAGATGTAGGCTGTGAGCTCGTCCACACACCTAAGCAATAAAAAACAACAAAAAAAAACGCGACTTGATAGGATATTTGGTTTAAACAATATTTCGCTTATCACACGACATTTATCTTTGTAATTAAAGTTGTGTTTTATTTCGAATCAGCATCAACAGTTCGAAGTTTTTAATTGAACTTCAATTAAAGTTTACTCCATTCAAATAGCTGAAGAAGTTTTTTTTTTGTTATGATATTTTATCTAAATTTTAAACTTTAAATGGCTCTCCTGTAAATTTGCAAAAATGTTGCTTAAACCTATGTGGCCTTTCACCCCTCGATATTATTACCGACCTTTCAAATACTTTACAGTTTTCGTTTTAATCGACTGAATAAATACGGAAGTCTTTCTTTTTCATATATTTTTTGCAAAGAATGCTGAATGTTTAAAATGTAATATAATAATACTCCATTATTTATCAATTAAAAACGTGAACGGCTGAGTTTGACTTGGGAAGTCTGACACAAAAAGCCCGCCTGTGTCTTCCGTCTAAGATTTAAATGGGGTTATTGCCAAATTTTAATCACTCGAATTTGTTTATTTATTTTAGAAGCCGGCGCTCCGAAGATGAAGTCCGCTGTTGTTGTCCTGTGTCTTTTCGCGGCGTCTCTGTACGCCGACGAAGGCACAGCCTTTAACGAAATCCTGGCGGAGCATCTTTACAATGACGTCATAATTGCAGATTACGACTCTGCTGTTGAAAGAAGCAAACTAATCTATACCGATAACAAGGGTGAGCTCATCACAAATGTCGTAAACAATCTGATACGAAACAACAAGATGAACTGCATGGAGTACGCCTACCAGCTCTGGATGCAAGGCTCCGAGGACATCGTCCGGGATTGTTTCCCGGTTGAGTTCACACTTATCTTAGCTGAAAACTATGTTAAGCTTATGTACAGGCGAGACGGTCTCGCTTTTACATTGAGCGACAATGGCGGGGTTGCCTACGGGGACAGCAAAGACAGGACCAGTTCAAGAGTCAGCTGGAAATTCATTCCGCTGTGGGAGAACAACAAGGTCTACTTCAAGATAGAGAACACTGAGCGCAAACAGAACTTGGCATTGAAAGTCCGAACTAACAGAAATGGCGACCACATGGCTTACGGGGTCGCTAACTTCGATGGTTTTAGAGCCCAGTGGTACCTGGTTCCCGCTGAATTAAATAACGAAGTTTTATTCTTCATCTTTAACCGGGACTACAACATGGCTTTGACGCTGTCGAGGACGATGGACAGCTTGGGTAACCGCATGGCCTGGGGATACAACGGTCGAGTTATCGAAAAGCCCGAACATAACACCTGGAGTATTAAGGTTTTCTAAGCTCTAATTTCATTGTTCACGAGAGCCGAGAAAAAATTATGAGAGAGAGAGAGTATTCTATATTGAACACCAAAAAGACAAAAAAAACAATGCGAAATATTAAATACAAAAAACAAAGTACAATGAGCGGTCTTATCGCTAAAAGCGATCTCTTCCAGCTAACCGTCAAGTGGACAAGAATCATATGGAAACGAATTACACGCGGCGTGCCCATCAATTGAAATATATAGATACTTAAACACATACACATATACATACATACACAATAGTACACATTAGTAGTAGCTACACACATAATAGTACCAATAAACAATTTTAATTTAAATAATGTTTTTTTATCTGTCGTCGCAGAATTTCGAAAGAAATAATTAATCGGTCTTCCGTCTTAGGACTTCGGCAGTGCAGTAACTGGTGGTCATGACTCATGACTATGGCGTAGGTGGTCGAGCGTTCGATTCACATATCGGGGAAACGCTGTTTTTCCTACCTATGCTGATAGCCTTGAGGGGCTATATCAGCGTTACCCTAGCGTGCAGGTGAGCTCTCGGGACTCAAACCGGAGGTGTTGCTAACACTGACCCTAGCAAGAGCAGTGCTGCGCAGAATCTACCACGGGATCGGAAACGCGACCCATTGAGAAGATCTGGCGAGAAACTCATTAGGCTGTGTCTGTGGGTTAATTTACTCGCCGAACCCTTCGTCGCAAGCGACGGTGACCGGTCAGGGAAACATTGGTGCGATAAACAAGTTCATTTACTCTTTATCTGGGTGTTTATTATCAATATGTCGCAGCCGGAAATGGCAAACNGGTTAATTTACTCGCCGAACCCTTCGTCGCAAGCGACGGTGACCGGTCAGGGAAACATTGGTGCGATAAACAAGTTCATTTACTCTTTATCTGGGTGTTTATTATCAATATGTCGCAGCCGGAAATGGCAAACGAAGCGAAAACGCGCCACCCAGTGGATGTGATCAGCAACTACTCGTCAAACATCGGCTCACTTAGGATGGTGTTATGGAGGGTAGAGGTAAAGAGAACCGTCTCATACGGGAGAAGCTTGAAAAAAAGTCCCACTAAATAACAGTTCAAAAATCCTCCAGAACGGCGCTAGCATAGGCATAGGGTATGTATGATATGAATTGAGCAGTTGTTAACTGATTGAAGTATGCTGAGTTAGGAAATTTAATATATTTAATGACTAGAGTAGTTAGTGACAGTGTAATATACAAGACCTCACATGTTTATGTAGTCCAAACCAATTTCGTCAATATAACCTAAAATTGTTGCTGTGGTAAAACGTGGAGACATCGATTGCATTGTCTTATCAGCTTTAAATAAAATTCTTTTTGTGATTTTGTAATGCTTACCGTTCTTTCGTCCTTTTTTATTTCTCTATCTTATTCTAATAACTTTCAGCGCCTTTTTTTAAATTTACCCGGTTGCTACTGTAGCGCTCCCTTATTTAGTAGATTTTAACGGACACTTTTTCACACACAGAGGCGGTTCTCCTTACCTCTACCCTCCATAGGTGGTGTGCTTCGGCATAGATAATACACATAAATTAGTTATAGATAAGCAACTCAAGCACTCAATAAAAATGTTTATTGGTGGTAGGACCTCTGGTGAGTTCCCACGGGCAGAAATAGGCGCGGTGGTAGTACCTACCCGTGCGGACCCACAACAGGTCCTACCACCAGTAAAAAATGTATGATCATATTGTACGAAGATTCCGGAAAGTTCTACTGCAAGTCAAATTGCAGGGCGCGACGTATTTATGAAAGTGTACTTTACTGTTCCTTCGTAATAAGGTGACACTGGAAAATTTGGAAACGCTTGACCACTTAGCGAGAGCGGGGGTTCGCTCACGCGGCAGTCTTCAGTCTGGTTCCCACAGGTCAGCCGTCGGGACACCATGGTACCTGCTATATTAACGTTCATGACGATCTAGAACCCTTAGAGTATTAATTACTATACCTTAGTATAGGGTAACTGGACAAGAATGATAGGTACCTTGCGGCAGGATAACCAGCTTATTGTTCCCCCACTAACCAGTCCCAATCCAGCTCACGTAGCTACCTGTACTAGAAAATGTTTGGACTGCCGTGTAGGTCACCGGTGCCCTACGCGGCGCACTCAAGTACATAATTATGCCTATTTCTGTTACTAAGACACAGGAATATCTAGTAGACTCTGGGAAAGACGAATCCGAGGATACTGAAATCGAATGTATTTCTGAGACCTAAAAGACTAAAACAAAAGAAGGCAAAGTTATCCAGGCGCCTTAGTAACAGAAATCGACAATATTACTTCAGTGCGCCGCGTAGGACAGTCAAAGGGTTAACCCCCAAATATTTAATCTTGAAATAATTAAAAACTAGATGCGTACAACAGTCTTATGGATGTGAATCTATTCCCATACTTTATTGTATGAAAATTTGTAATCTATATATATAAAAATTAATTGCTGTTCGTTATTCTCGCTAAAACTCGAGAACGGCTGAACCGATTTGGCTAATTTTGGTCTTGAATTATTTGCGGAAGTCCAGAAAAAGTATAAAAGGTAGATAAATATGAAAATGCTCGGAATTAAATAAAAAAATCAATTTCGTTTTTCCTTTGATGTGTCCCCCGTCGGACGGATTCCTTTTGTTTGTTAAAACGTGCTAAGGTATTTTCATTAATGTACATTTTTCTCTTCCACAACAGAGACGAATCTAATGATATTCAATCTTGAGATCCATCAAAAGGTTTAAGCTGTAGAGCGTGCCACAGAACTAGGCTTTATTGGTGGTAGGAGTCCTGTGAGCCCGCATGGGTAGGTACCACTAACCTGCCCCTTTCTGCCGTGAAGCAATAATGCGTTTCGGTTCAAAGGGTGGAGCAGCCGTTGTACTGTAAAAACTGAAACTTGAACTTAACGTAGTTGACATCTATGGGTTCCACTTAACATCAGGTAGACCGCGAGCTAGTCCACCCATATTAGTAATAAAAATAAAAACATACATGTGTAAGTACAATCGACAGTCTGCTAATAACATCTTTAGGTGGACCTTATACGAATTTCAGAAAAGTCTCGGAAAGTAAAATAAAAAATTTAATTTTTAGTTCTCTGTTTCACAATTAATATAAACACAAAAATCATCTTTTTCCTTAATATAATCATCTTACAAACTATTTTTTAATGATACACTGTTTACAAATGCTAATTTTATTTGAGTTGTTATTTATTGATATATATAAATCAATAAATATATTTTTTTTTAAACATTTTTTTCTTCTGTAAGCATAAATGTGAAATAATTATTTTCTGTTCAATTTTGTTCACAGGCGGGCATCTATGTGAACATTTAAAACGTTATAGACCAATAGCTCATTAACCGAATTTTGGACCTCACCGACCATCGATGGTTAAAGTTTTAAACACCCTTATTACTTAACTAAATGGACTATGTCCAAAACAGTTGATCACTATTCTCCATCATGCTCCTTTAAAGACCGAATCTCTTTCGTTTGATAGCTATTGGGGAGCTTTTGCCTAATCCATTAAATCAATATTGAACAGAATAGCAAGTGTAATATATAAAATTAAACAATATCTTGGGCTGTTAGTGATTAATGAACACTAGATGTGTTATTATTACATTGGCTCAATTAACCAACCGAAATAATGTGGCTTCTCGGCAGCATCTTCGCTCTCGCCATATATCCTGAAATCCTCGTTGTTCACAACGTCCTTACCGATCTTCAGGGCCTGCGAGTATCTGCGATTGAATATGAAAAATAAAAGGTCGCCTTTGTGATTCATCGCCTGCAGGTACCATTGACTTGTGCTGTCTGTAGCATCGTCAGATGAGAACACTCTACGCTCATCGTCCTTCACAGGATCACCCATTTTCAAACGTTGATTGTATTTCGGGTTAAAGATTTTGAAATAGACTCTGTTCGATTCCCACGAGGACATAAACTTCCAACTGTTCTTATGGTCGTCCTCGTCGCCATATGCGTCTCTATCACCATTTTGGTCTAGATCCTTGCTCAGAGTCATGTACAGATCGTCATGCTTGTTAATAATTTTACAGTCCTTCTTATCGTCTAGTATCAGTCTGAACTCTAATGGGAAACAACTTTGAACTATATTTTGGTGCCCAGTGGTCCATAGTTTGTAAGAGAAATTAATTGTGTTAGATTCGGCATTTTTAAGCAGCTCGGTAACTGTGTTCTTTATGATGTACGAACCATTCGGTTCGGATATCAGTTGCTCGCATCTTTTGGTTGCATCATCGTAGTCAGCGGAAATGACTGAATTGTATAGTTTTCGGTCGGATTTGCCAGAATCACTTGCTTCAACAGACATATTGAAAAATGTCGCAATTATAACCGACAGAGTTGTTAAAATCTTCAATTTCATTTAGAATTCAGCTTACTGGAAAAAGAGAAAAAAAAAACCATTAGACATTACATTTTGTTACATTACAATAGGGAACGCCCGATCGTGCTCCTCTGGAACCTACAATTATTAATAGTTTCATAAAATAGGGCCCTCCATCAGGCGTTTTCTCTCGCCCAATTTCAATACGGCTGGAGTCCAAGGTGGTCAAGATTAACGCTTAATGTTACCAATGAAATTATTTGAGTTATATCTGTTCTCTCTCAATGGTTTTCACGCTTTAAGTAGTTTACCTCGATCATGTATTTTTTTAATCTGTTGTGGGGGTTTTTGTTATGATATATATTTGGTGGCTTGTTTGGTGTTTGCTTTTTGCAAATCAAACAGCAATATTAATAAGCATTCATTTAAAAAAATAAGGATTAACAACTATCTTTACTATAATACAGGGGTAGACAAATAATAAGAACAGACCCGCTCGCAAGTGAATTATTTAACCAAAGTTAAAACTGTTACTCATTCAACAAGTCGGACATCAACACTCACATTTGGATTTTAAAAATACTACACAAGAAACGACAGTAAATGTACTCAATATTTAATTTATTAGAAGTCTGAAAGGCATCTGTGACAAAGAAGGTGAGAAGCGCGCGTTTGGGATGGTATGGACATGCGATGAGGCGAAATGACAATGAGGTTGTTAAGAGAGCTTTAACTATGAATGTGGAAGGCTTTAGAGGAAGAGGGAGACCTAAGAAAAAATGGATGGATGGCGTTAAAGACGATATATGTAAGAAAGGCGTGAGTGAAGAAATGGTATGTGACAGAGGGGTATGGAAGGAGAAAACATGTTGCGCCGACTCCAGATAACTGAGAGAAAGGCAGGAGAGATAATGATGATGATGAATATTTTTTTCCCTACCTATTAGCTGGTAGCCTAAGGGGCTATTTCAGCCACGCGAAGACGGGCAGTTGAGTTCATTGGCTCAAACTAAGAGAATTTTCTAACACTAGCCCTAACAAATGCAGTGCTTCGCAGAATCTACCACCGGATCGGAATCGCGACCCACTGAGAAGATCCGGTGAGAAACTCAGTAGATTTTCGACTCTATGGATTAGTTCCCTCGTCGAACCATTCGTTTTTCCATCTTTATTTGTATTTTCATCGTGTCCACATTGATGAAGATTTAAATCTAGTGAAAATAAAACAAGTGACCGAAATTGGAAATAAATTTCAATGTATTTAAATAAAATTCATTTGAATTTAGATTTTATTGCCAGCCCATACATAAATGATGTTTTAAATGGCCACTACTGTAAAACTGCAACTTCATATACGTAAAGACATAATATTTCATTTTGTTGCAATATGACTTCATTATTTTATAGTATCATCTTATAATGTCCCCAAAAAAAACAGTATCATATTATAATGTCCCCAAAAAATCTTAAATTACAATATATTACCAACGAGGTCACCCGGTTGAATCTTTCGGAATTTACGAGTGGCGATTAACAATTCACATCATTCGGCGATGGAATTTATTCCTGTAGGCGGTTCGCCGTGCCAAAATGCATGAATCTAAAAAAATTGCAATGAAAGAATGTAGGTATGTTCATGTAGATATTTTTGGTGTACTCTTTGCGAGCATTTACATTCTTAGTGTTGAATGTTCGTGTTAATTCTCATATCTATTTACACATATTATATCTGTGTCCGTATGGGAATGTATTTATAATATAGTAATCCATTACTTGTACCTACATAAATTAACAAATAATACGAATTGTACTCTATACTATTAAAGTAAGGGCGATCCCAACTATGCGCGGACCAAACGGGCTATTATACGAATTTTGGATAATTGTATCAAATTATTCCTTAGAACGTTGGGAAGTCGTCGTGGCCTAAAGGATAACACATCCGGTGCATTCGTGTTGAGCGATGCACCCGTGTTCGAGCCCCAGGCGGGTACCAAATTTTCTAATGAAATACGTACTCAACAAATGTTCACGATTGACTTCCACGGTGAAGGAGTAACATCGTGTAATAAAAATCAAACCCACAAAATTATAATTTGCGTAATTACTGGTGGTAGGACCTATTGTGAGTCCGCGCGGGGTAGGTACCACCGCCCTTCTTATTTCTGCCGTAAAGCAGTAATGCGTTTCGGTTTGAAGGGTGGAACAGCCGTTGTAACTATACTTGATACCTTAGAACTTATATCTCAACGTGGGTGGCGCATTTACGTTGTAGATGTCTATGGGCTCCAGTAACCACTTAACACCGGGTGGGCTGTGAGCTCGTCCACCCATCTGAGCAATAAAAAAAAACATATTTCCGGAACGTTTTTGGCAGAGATCAGCGATAAAGTAAAAAATAATATTAATAAATAGATAAAAACCACTCGAAGACGCTCTTTCCGTTATAACGTTTATCAAATGACTTTTGCAATGTCATTGCGAACAATAAATTAATTGTTATCAATCAGTGCAGCTATACTGACACTGACCCGGTCACCGTTCTCGTTGAACCCGTCGCTTGCTGAATTAACCCACAGACACAGCACACACACACGTGGACACTCACAGTACGGTTGGTCCGTCAGCTGAAAGTCGCTCAGCGAGCCATGGAAAGAGCCATGCTCGGAGTTTCTCTGAAGGATAAAATCCGGAATGAGATTATTCGACTGAGAACTAAAGTGATCGACATAGCTCAAAGAGTCAGCAAGCTGAAGTGGCAGTGGGCTGGCCATATATGCCGTAGGACTGACGATCGCTGGAGCAGACGAGTACTCGAGTGGAGACCGCGCAGCGGAAGACGTAACGTGGGACGCCCCCTGGCTAGGTAGTGCGATGACCTCCGCACGGTGGCCGGCAAGAAGTGGATGAGGAGAGCCGCAGACTGGGCTCAGTGGTGTGGATTGGGAGAAGCCTATATCCAGCAGTGGACGACTGTGGGCTGTTGATGATGATGATGATGATGACACAGCCCACTGAGTTTCTCGCCTGATCTTCCCAGTGGGTCGCGATTCCGATCCGGCGGTAGATTCGGCGAAGCACTATTCTCGCTAGGGCTAGTGTTAGCAAATTCTCTCAGGTTGAGCCCGTGAGCTCACCTACCCGTCCGGGCGTAGCTGATAATAGCCTATTAGGATACCAGCGAATATGTAGGGAAAAAAAGAGAGAAAAAAAACTTTAGAGGTGTCAAGGGACACCCGGATGGAACGAAGTTCCTTTCGATTAATTAGTGAAGGAATTGTATTTTTTTTTTAAATTATAATAATAAATTACGGCATTATGAAGAAGAAAAAACAATACTATGAACTAAATTACTATTGTTGAAACGCTCTCTCGAGAAACTGTACTCATTACGCGGACCAATCGGATACGAGCAATGTCACGCGATAAGCGCCTACACGTTGATTGGTCAGAATGACGGATCTAAAAAGTGTCGTGACAACTTTTCGTAAGAATTTTTTCCGTCTAGCCCCCTTTCACAACGCGCGATAAGGAACTTCGTTCCAAAAACGGAAAGTACGTGTGAAAATCTTGGAAGCAAAATATTTCCTTAAATCTTCATACATAAACTTTTATATATAAACAATATATTCCGGAAGCTTACTAACACGATCATATTTATCAACTAAAATCAATGACTGTTTAGATTTTAGAGCGTTACTTAGACAATGAAAATTCACTATTTTTTACCGATTATATTTTCATTTATTTACAGCGAAGCATTAGGGATTAATTCATGTGACTCATTTTCCTCGTCCAATTGTCCAATTTCAAGCAATTCCAAACACTGATTCACCGTTCGCACGAAAATTATAATTTTTCAAAACAAAAGAGCGAGGTGTCTTGTCTTGGTCTTGTCTCCCGGTTGGACTATTCTTCTGCTATACTTTGCTTCTTTTATATGTTTTTATTAAGTAATTCTTGAATAAATAAAAGATATTTTTTTGTTATTGCTTAGTTGGGTAGAACGAGCTCACGGCCCACGTGGTTTTAAGTGATTACCGGAGCCCATAGACATCTACAACGTAAATGCCGCCACCCACCTTGAGATATGAGTTTTAAGGCCTCAGTATAAGTCAGTTAATTAAATGAATCATAAAATGTGAATATCTAAATACGTATTTATAATTGAATATTAGTGATTAACATTTGAGTCGACTATTATCAAAGCCGGCAATGTGACTTTTGGACAATTATTGGTAAATCACAAAAACGAATTATTGACTTTGTATTCCATTGGCAGTCACAAAACTCTTCTGAACGACATCTTAGATAAATAACAGGTTAAGTATTAACCTTTATTTAATGCAGGTTTTGAACCGTATTCTTTGAAGGAGACGATTATATTCAAATCAATCTATATTGACATATCAATAAAATTTTTTTGTCCAAATGCACAAATTGCTTGCCACCTTTGATAATAGACGACTCATTTATTACAATGTTGTTTTTTTTTAACTGTTATTATGATAAATCTAAAACAATTGTAAGGTTTTGGTGCTTCTAGGTACTTCAAGCACCGGTCACCGTTCTCGTCGAACCCGTCGCTTGCGACGAAGGGCTCGACGAGTAAATTAACTCTCAGACACAGCCCACTGAGTTTCTCGCCGGATCTTCTCAGTGGGTCTCGTTTCCGATCCGGTGGTAGATTCTGCGAAGCACGGCTCTTGCTAGGGTCCGTGTTAGCAACGTCATCAGGTTTGAGCCCCGTGAGCTCACCTACAAAAGTTAGGGTTACGCTGATATAGCCTCTCAAGGCTCTCAGCTTAGGTAGGAAAAAAAAAAAGTAAGGTTTTCATTATTATTATTTTAATCAACTGCAGTAATAAGCGGTTTGTTTTACCTAAGTGAAGTAGATTTAGGCATGTCATCTAACGGCTGTCTGGTGTAGTGGTAAGTGACATGGTCACTACACAAGGGGGTCGCGGGTTCGAATCCCGCCAAGGAAAGATATTTGTATGATAAATATAAATGTATTTTCCAGGGTTATGGACGTGTATTAAATATATGTATGT